TCAGACAGCAGCTCCCCCTTGCACCAGCTCTCTTTACCCTTCCCCCCCCGCCCCAGCCTGCTCCTGGGGAGCACGATACCCAGACCTACAACAGTTGGGGCACTGCGGGAGCCCCAACTGTGCCAGCACAGCACCCCACTCTGCCCTGGTTCCCATTCTAATAGCCAGACCCGTGGGGCGGTGGGGTGGGGGGGCTCAGGTCTGCTGGCCCCCAACCCACACCCCCCACCCCATCAACTTCCTCATACGCAGCCCTCCCATCCCACGCAGTCCCAAACACACTGGGGGGGGGGGGGGGGGGGAACTTTATCCTTGATTTAGTGTCTTTAAGAGCCCTTTGCAGCAGATTTCACATCAAAGGGGGTTTGAAAGAGTGGGGACCCCGGACCAAAGGAGGGGGAGAGGGTCCAATTCCCCCAGCTCCCCCCACATGCCTCCACCTCCACAATCCCAGGGCGAGCAACCGGTGTCTCCCAAGCAGGCGGCCCAGAGGATGCTCCGCTCTCCACCTCCTTCCCCAGCGCCGTCCTCCCGCACTGGGGCTGGCTGTCTGGCTGTCTGTCTGTCCGTCCCTTGCCCCTAGGATGAAATGGCTGCTCTCGGTGGGGGCCAGGCCCTATGGAGCAGGCACTCAGGCACAGGCAGAACCAGCAGCAGCTGCCAACCGAGCCAGCTCCCCACACTCCCTCACCGTTGGGTCGCTGGATTTTTAGTTTTTTGTTTTTTTTTCCCCCCCCCCCCCCCCCCAAAATGTGTTTTAACCCGGTCACTGCAGACCCATAACCCAGCGGAGCACGAGCCGAATCGCCACCCGCCCATCGCGGTGCACCACGGGCTGGATCCCCCCCAGCGCCGGTGGGTTTCCACGGGGGGGGGGTGTGTGCAAAGGGCAGCCGGGGACACTCAGAGCCGACGCTGGGGGTCTGGAAGGATCCGGGGAGCACGGCACATCCCGCACCACGCTGCTCCGGGAACGGCGAGCACCGGCAACGGGGAATCAAAGGTTCCTAAAGTTTCCCCGAGAGCCAAGCCCCGCTCCGGCCTCTCGCAGGGCGGGCTCCGGGGAGCCACGCTGCCGACACGGGCAGCGCTCAGCCACGGAAAACAGCGTCAGGGCCCGAAGGTGTTGGATTTCTGCTGCCTGCCGAGGCGGGGAAGCGGAGGCGGGGGGGGGGGGCAGAAGCTGCCTGTAGAGGGAAATGGGGGAATAAAGGCCAAAAGGAGACAGTTTAAAAAAAAAAAAAAAAAAAAAAAAAAAAAAAAAGGGGGGGGAAATTAGAGAACTGCTCCCACGCACAGCAGATCGCTGGTGCTGGGGAGGGTCCGTCAGGAGCAAGTCAGCACGCAGCCCGAAAGCATCGGGCCCGTGGGGACGGGGAGCCGGTGACCCACCCGCAGCTCTGCCGGGGTTATGGGGTGGGGGGGTGGGAACTGGGGAAAGCGGGAAAGCTCCGGTAACGCCGCGGGAGCGGAGAAACGGCGCCGGGAGGGCTGGCAGGCAGCAGGGCTGGCCCACCGGGAGCCACTTGACTGCTTGCCAGCCTCTCTTTGTTCTTCCACCGGCGGAGGAAACGGGGCGGCCGGGGTGGTGGTGGGGGGGGGGGGGGGGGGGGACACGGGACCCCGAGCCGCTTCCTCTCCCTCCTGATGAAGGAACTGGAAGGACTGGGGGAGACGGAGGAGAAGCAGATGGGCTGGATGCCCGCCGAGCCCTCCCGGCAAGCAGGACTGCCCAGGCCCCGCTTCGCAGAGCGGGAGTGGGGGGGCTACCCTCGCCCCCCCCCCCCCCCATGGAGAGCGGAAAGCGGAATCGGTTATTAGCAGAAACAACCACAAATAGGTCAACTCGTTTTCACCCCAGCCACCATACCAAGCTGGAGCTGTTCGAAGGGCGGCCAGCGGGGAGAGGAGACCCCCGAAGCATTTTTTGGGGGGGGGGGGGGGGGGGGGGGGCCCCCAAGGCTGGTTTCCCCCCCCCGAGCTGCAGGAGGACACTGTGCAGAGTATGACCCTCCCCGGCTGTTGGGGCAGCCCCTCGCGAAATATTATGCCCGAACCCCAAAGCGCACCCTGCGTTACCCGCACCGGGGTCCCCCCATGGGACCGGTGCCCCACGAACAGCCCGGGGTGGGCTGTGGGTCTGCCCCACGGGTGTCACCCCCCACGGGGGAGAAAGGGCTGGGGCAGCAGGGATGGCATTGGGGGTGCGGGGTGGGGGGGACCCTGCTCTGACGCTGCGAACCCCAAAGCTCCCGGGGGGTGGGGGGGTGGCTCACCACCAGCCAGGGAGACACTGGTGTCCCGTGGGAGCACCCGGCGTGGGGGCTCTCAGCTCAGCCATTCCACGTCCCGCAGGATTTTGCTGCTCTGGGACACCCCCCCCCCCCGGGGACCCGCTGGGTGCTGGCTGGGGGTGGGTGGGGGTTCCCCTGCCCACACCCCGGGCCTTTTACCGGTGAACCCCCATAAAGTGGGCCGGACACGGGTGGGAAAGTGTCGTCCCCCCTCCACCACAGACGGGGCAGCGGAAGACACGGCTCCCTCCCACGGGGGACTCCCCACGGCCACGGGGAACAACCAGATCCCTCCCCACCCACCCAGGGAAGCCCGCGCCTGTCCCCCGGGACGTGTCGGGCCCCCCCCGCCCCCACTCTCCCCGGGGAGCGCCGTGGCCCAGCCGGGCCGCCCACGCGGGTCGGGCCCGGCGTCCCCGCAGGCTGCCGGGGCCGGAGCGGGGTGGGGGCGGCGGGCAAACCCGGTTGCTCCTTCGGTTACCGGGCCGAAGCGACACACCCCCCCCCCCCCCCCCGGTGTCGGCGGGGCAGCCCCGCCCTGCAGGCCCCGCGGCGGCGGGCGGCACTCACCCGTGTAATGCACCACGCAGGTCTGGCCGCGCTTGGGGAACGTCCGTCCTGCGGGGAGACACGCACCGTGAGCCCACCGGGACCGGAACCGGGACCGCGACCCGCACCGGGATGGGAAGCGGGAGCGGCCCGGTGAGGGAGGGGAGGGAGAAAGCGGGGAGAAGGGAGGGCACGGCGCGGCTCACCGTCGCCGGGGGCGATGGTCTCCACATGCACGCCCATGCCGGTGCCGGTGCCGGTGCCGCTCGCGCACCCGCAGCGCCCGCAGCCCGAGGGAGGAGGGGCCACGTGTGCGCAGCCTCGCCCGCCGCGCCACCATAGAGCCCGCCCGCCGCGCCGCCTAGAGCGGCCCCGCCCGCCGCCATCTTCCGCCCTCCCCCCCCCCCCCCCTCCCTCCTTCCACCCACCCCGCTCCTTCCTGCCCGGGCCCCGGCCGCCATCTTGGCACCGCGCGGTTGCCGGGGAAACGCGGGGCCCCCGCCGTCAGGGAGCCGCTGGGCCTCGAGTTCTTTGCCCGTTTTTCCGCTTTTTATAATCCCCGGGGCTGGCCGCAGCGAGCCCAGTGGAGACCCAAAGCTGCACAACCCCGGAATCCCCCGAGTCTTGCCAGCGCCCGCCGGCCCCACACCCCAGACAAGACTTTTAACAATTTCCACACTTCCCAGGGCTGGGCTGTCCCTAAATCGAGAGTGTTGGGCACATGACGGCAGGCAAGACGCTGTTTTGCAGAGCTAAATTAATGCTGCTCCTCACTGTGCTGGTGGAGGTCTGTGCTGGCCCCATGGTACTGGGGCAGGTTCAGCAGAAGAGATTCAGGTTTGAACAATGCCACATTCAAAAGGACTTTCTTCTGGGAACAACAGCAACTATTCTCTTTTTTGGTCAAAAAAAAGAATCGCTTCAGGCACAGGATTTTTGCCTCAAAGCGTCCTATTTCCTTACTTCAAGGAGATGAACTTTAGTGTCCACAAGGGAACAGAGAAGTTCCAAGGACAGCCAAGAGACTAATAAAAAGCCTGTATTCTCAGCAAGTGCGTTAAAATGGGACACAAGAGGAGGAGACGCTTAAAATAACAGATAATGGGATGAAGCAAGTTTTAATTGCTTCTATTCATTCCTTGCATCTTTTAAATACTGAAATACCAAGGTGGTGTTTGTTTTGTTTTGTTTTGTTTTTTTTTTTTCATTGCTTGATTCTGTAGCATTATTTTTCATATTAAAGCTGCAACACACAGATGGTGCTTGTGGTCCCTGACTTTCCGCAAACACACCTGGCAGCAGGGCAGATGTGCAAGGCCCAGAGTCAAGGTTAAAAAAAGGAGAAAAGGGGGCATGTTCTCATCCCTCCTGATTAATGCTACCTCAGTGAAGAGCTGGCCCTGCTCTCCCTACGAGGACCAGTGATAAACAAGGATCTGAAAAGGCAAAATACTGCTCGGTGTATGCCCGTGCTAGAGCCCTTGCGTGGCTGGCACAGGTCTGCTTGCACAAGTCAGGCACTGAGGCTCTCACCCTGGGTTGGGCATTTTGGTTTTTGTTTTGTGGGTTTGTTTTTTGTTTTTTTTTTTGAACTCCCTGGCATAACCTGCTCATTTTACCAGCAAGCAAGGTCATCACGACAACCAGTACTTCAACAGGGGCCAGAAGCTCAGCCAGATTTAACCACTCCTCACTGCTCAGGGTCCGGCTGGTCAAGACCCAGGAAAAGTTCAGGTCAGATTCTGGTATCTAAACTCTGGAGAAAGTGCAAAGGCTCAAAACCAAGTGAATTCTGCCTAAACTGCTCCCTGCCCTCTGGATCAACTGCTGGCAGGACTGACAGAATAAGAAATACCAAGATGGAAAAGCGTGACCATTCAGATTTAATACTGTAGAAACATAAATGGGACATTATTGGCTATACAGCAGCACCGCCCCGGGCAGCAGCGGGGCTGGCAGGCACCACGCAGCAGCTCCCTGCTCTGCACTGGGTCTGGTCCCGCTCTGCAGTGGCCCGTGCTGCAGGTTGGGAGCTCCAGATCAAGCCCACTCCTCTGTCCCAAGGAGCGCGTGCCTTTGAAGAGAATTCATGCCTTCTGCAGGACTTTCAACTCTCAGCAATCGGAGCGTTTCCTCGATGCTCAAAGGCATTTGCTTTTTCGTAAATCTTGAGGCAGCAAGGCTGAAAGCAAGGCGGTGGCAGAGGGCAATGCATCCCAACACCTGACTGTGGGCTTAGTCAGGCGATTCCAAGGAACATCCTTCACACTCCACAAAACAAAACAACAAAGAAAGAAAATAAAAAAACAGGAAAAAAAAAAAAAAAAAAAAGAGAGAGGCCCTTCATGCATCTGAGAAATGGTCCTGAATCAAGGCTGCTGTGATGATCCTGCAGGTGCCCAGATGCAGCTCTAACACACCATCTCCCCCACTGACCGCAAAGTTGTACCACAAGACTTAAGGCTTCAGATTAATTCAGTGCACAACTGGGGAGTCATTTGCTCAGATCCTGCCAGTGTGCACCCGACTGGAGAGCTGCAAGGTCAACCAACGGTCAGATGCAGCTCTAGCCCTAAAAATAACCAACCTCACTCTCTGCCTCTGCACAAGGCTGAAGACAGCTCAGCACTGCCAGCCATGACACGGCTGATTTCTCCTCTCTTCCCCCCGCTGCCCCCTCGCTGTTGCCAGGAGAGATGTGGGGGTGCCGAGCATCTCTCGCAAGATGCTGCTGTGAGAGATCTAGTGATGGGCTACGATTTAAAAGCAACTCAGCTCTTCTCGAGATTCATTTGACGCTTCTGCCATAACCTCCCAACCTGGCAAAAACCAAGACAAGCTGCCAGAAACCCCCCAGGTGCCTGACTGGAGGCAGTGCAGCCCATTCCCACACTGGATCCAGCTCCTGGATTCCCAGCAGTGACTCAGCTAACAGGGCCCAGGCAGACGGAGAGAGCTTGCTTCCCACCACCCTGCTGCCAGGTGTCATTGTTGCTGCACATGCTTTAAAACACTGCTGGCTTGAACTTCACCCTTGTTCAAAGAAATTCAAAACCTCTCCCTGTGAAAGGGCAGTCTAAGCACAAAGACATGCGCTATCTTGGCAGTATTTTCCCTAAAAACTGTTTTTTAGGGAAAAAAGGGTTTCCTCTCAAAAACAATCCCTGTGTTCTTTGTGCATGCTTTCCCACAAGGTTAGGTGACACCTTGGCACCCCAGTGTGTGCGAGCACTGCTCCGAGGCTGGCGGGGACCCTTCCTCCCTGGCACTACAGTCTCTCCCAGAAGAAGAGCCTTGTCCAGATCTGTCAGGACCTGCCAAAAGACCAAGCCCTGGAGAAAGCAGCTCTGGTGAGGTGGCAGGGATGGGGCTGTAGCAGGACCCCCCCCCTCCCCATCCCGTGCCTGCCAGCTGGGAGAGGGAAGGGGTCAGGATGCAAAACAGGCCTCTGGGACATGGGAACAGGAAACAACAGGAAGCGACAACTTTCCCCAACAGCAGCACATCCTGACAGCACAGCAAATCCACGTCCTTCCCGATGAACTCACTTCAGCCCTGGCTTTATTCTTGGCTGCCACACTGTACCTGATGCCTGTTGAAAGGAACAACGAGCACTCACGAAATCTGGTGTGAGGTCGGCCACCCCCAAAATACCCTGAAGCCCTTTGGGAAATGCACCCCTTCAGATGATCGTAGCCCAAGCACGGGGAGCCAGGCTGGACATGCAGAGTCCCTCCCCTGTACAACATTTCTGTGTCAGGCTAGGACCAAGGCAGACACCCAGCCTAACGCTAGGTGACCCGGCTCCCTCAGGGACCTTCAATTTACCCCATTTCCTCCATCTCTATTCTCATCTGCTTCCTCCTCTCCTCATCGATGGGATGGAGGCAAAAGATGATTATGGCAATGAGCAGCAGGCTTATCGGGACTGGGGCCATGAGAAGCTTCAGGGTGAGGATGACAGAGGGGTTGTACGTGCAGTCTCCAGCATGATAACCTACAAAACTGAAGAGGAGGATGGTTTTACTTTCCCCAGCCCCACCAGGTCACTGCAGAAGGCAAGCGGACACCTCCATCCCTCTCCTTTAGAGTCTGGTATCAGAGGCCATTTTGGGGAATTCCCACTCCTTTCTGCTTTTCTTGCTCCCAACAGATGTTGTAAAGACAAATTTGGATACCCCTGTGACTCATTCCAGCATCTCCTTTTAACACCCTAGAAAACATCAGTAGAAGATGCCTGTGCTGGGCTGTCAAAATAGGGGAGGTAATGTTTGGGGCTTACTGTAAACTCAATGTCGATATCCCCACAGCAAGGCCACCTGCAAACTTGTTGAAGAAGACGTAAAATGAGTAGAAGAGAGCCTCCAGGTTGTGGCAGCTGGGGTTCTTCAGCATGAAGTCGTCCACCGTATCTGGCAGCATGGACCTGGGGACAGACGGCCCCACAGATGTGTCAGTGACACCCACGCCAGCTGAACTTGGCTGCAGCTGCTTCAAAGCCCCTCCAAGCAGCAGAGAGAGACAAAGCCCTTGCAGAATCCCACGCTGGAGACCGTTTTGTGCCTGTCCTCTGCCTTTGGCAAACAGGGCAGAGAGTGTCTTACAAGGAGGGTGCTTCAGAAAAAGAGAAGAAAACCAGCGCCTTGCGCCATGGCTGGCATCCTGCTGCTGAACCCAAACACAGTCTGAACAATGCTGCTGGAGCCCTGTGGATCACATCCATGTCCCTTCCCAGTCCCACCTCCACATGTCCCTCTGCATCTCAAAAGCTGCTGCACTGAGCAAACGGGCAGCCCTGGCACTCAGGGGCGGTGCTTTCGCCCAAACCTTCCCCTCCTCTCCGCCCGACAAGTGGCTCAGAGGTGCCTCGGCTCACCATGGTAAAAGGTAGAGCACAGCCATGCTGCAGCCTGCCACGATCACCAGGAAAACGAAGGCCAGGAAGTTGTGCATCACCTGGGTGACGGCTACCAGGGCTGGGATGATCAGCTGCAGTGGCGAGAGGAAGAGGAGAAACAAAAGCACATGGGCCCTTTTTGCTGCTCACAGGCAGCTTGCATCCGTCTGCACAACCAAAGGCCACACTCCCCCCCCTTCCCCACATATTTCAAACAGAACTGCTCCTGTCCCCTGTGCAGTTCAATGTGGAGACCCTGGACAGGCTGACACGGGCAGCAAAACCTTCCTCATGGGTAAAGGAGGGATGTTTATGGAGAACAACGGAGCTGGGTGGTTAAACTGGAAAGCTGGATCTGCTGTAGCTGCACCCAGCGTCTGTGAGGAAGGCATCTGGAAGTAGATCCTCAATGGGATTTGAGCACCTAATTCTGCAAAATGCCAAATGGGATTTCCTTGCTGACCTACAGAGCCAAGCAGAAGCCAGGACATGTGTCTGATGAGCAAGGCTGTTTCCCAGCCACTGCCAAGCACGGTGCAGAGCCCTTCTTTCCCTCCCCGTGCCTCTCACGCAGCTGGATGGCAGAACTCGGATCACTTGCATCAAGCACGTGAGATCCTGGAACGGGACAGAGGCTGCAGGATGGTGTTTGCGTGTGCACATGAGACTGTGTGACAGGTACAGCACCTGATCACACGCTGCTCACCAGATCCGTGGCCACGCAGTCTCAGAGCCTGAGCCCCTGGTTGGGTGATATTGGAAAAAACCCCCAGAATCATTTCCCCACCATCTGAGGCTGGGTTGGTCCTTCAGCCTCCCTGCACTTTACTGCAAAGTTCTACGAAGCCACAGCCACCGATACCAGCAGTGGCCAGGCACAAGGAAGCGCAGAACTGCCATCAACTAGTGGTTTAACTCCTGGTCACCTGCAGTGCAGAGGACACCGTGCTCAGGGCCACCCTTAGCTGCCAGACAGCCCTTCTCCTCAGACACCGAGCAGCTGGGGGCAAGGCTGTCCCCTCGCAGGGCTTCTCAGCCACAACCATGGGAAAACTCACCACCAGGCCCAGTGATGCTGCTGTTTTCTTTCCAAATCTCCCCAAAAACCACTGCCAAAAGGGAATAGAGAAGGAAGCTGTGACCTGAGGAGAGAACCAAAGGGGAGTCTCAGCAATGTCCCCCAGGCCTGCCAGTCTCTGCCTGGGTGACGTCCTTGCTGCTGGGCAGAAGCAGGAGCACAGGACTTCACAAGACTGAGCTGCTTGTGCTCGAGGGCTGGGGTGACCTGAGGATCAACCTCTCCACCAGGAAGGTCTGCCTGAGGCTCACTTACCAACATAATAAGCACTAAGTACTGGAACTTCCCAGCCAGCCCGGCAGCATGAGTACAAAAGAAGGCAAAGATCCCTTGTGTGATCTGGGAAAGCAACACGGAGATGTTCATGGCTGAGGGTCCTGAGTTCCCTGTCTGAATAACTTGCCTGGACATCTCCTCCCCCAAGTTTTCCTCCTGCCGTGGCAGGTCTCACACCTGGAAGGCCAGGGAGGCGAAGAGGAAGCCACAGAGCAGCTGGATGTAGGGCTGGTGTCCCACGATCATCCTCAGGCAGCTGGAAAAGGGCAGCTCAATCTTCCCCAGGGGGCTGAGAGGCCCTGAGAAGAGAGATGGCAGGGCTGGCACTGGAGCTGCCAGAACAACTGCAACGGGGTGGGAGGCACAGGGGGATCGCACTGCTGCATCTGAGGTGCAGCTCAGCTGAGTGAGGAGCTACTGGAGTCTGATTGTCTCGGGGCAGAGACAACAGCCACAGTGTCAGCCACAGGCAGGATTTTGCCTCTTTACACCGCGCACTCGGGCTGGCCTGTGGAGCTCCTCAGGCTGTGTGTTGGTGGGACCTGCTCGGCGTGAAGCAGCGAGCTGCAGACCCCGTCCCAGGCCCATGGCTCCCCACAGGAGCTCCCAGGTGGCCGGAGCCTTCCTTCCTCTGGAACATCACCCCTCTCCTCTGCCGAGCAAGATGCCACCAGCACAAGCCAAGGAGGGTCTTAGTATCCAAGCGTTGTGTTTCTGAGACCTGCACTCTGCCAGCTGTCCCCCACATCGGTGCCCACCTCACGCCTTCCTCTGCAACCCCATTCTCACCATCCGCTGCCACTGGGCACCCTCCAAACTGCATCTAAAAGGACCTTACCAGGCCGCTCTTTGACTCCAAAGATGAGAATCAGACAGGACAGGCAATAGATGGAGCCCAGGATCAGGGATGCAAACGCATAGGCCCTACGCTGGACAACGAGAGACGGCGCACAGTGACAGTGCAGGCACCACGCGCGGAGCTGGCAGCGCAGCCGGCGGTGCCTGCCCCGGAGCTTACGGGGGGAGCGGGGGCCAGCCCTTACCACGTTCTCCAGAGATTCCGTGAGGCTGTAGGTGCTGGTGTTGGGCAGGGTCTCGTTCGACATGTAACAGCCATTCATCATGCGGGCATGGTAACCCCCTACAATCTGCCCCTGGATTCCTGACCCAAGGAGCGTGCTGAGCACTTCCATCCCCATTCCTGCCAGGACGACCGGGAGAGAAGCCTCAGTCCCACTCCCTGGCTGACAGGAAAAATCCCTCGGACCAGGTACGAGCCCAGCTTTGGGAATGGAATTGGAGGCACCAACACCCAAAGCTGCCCCAGAAGAGACCTGCTATTTCTACCTGCTCTGATTTTTCCCCCTTGGTTCCAGCAGTAAATGCTCTAATGTTTGAAACCAATAAATCTAGGTCCTGGTTTCCCTGGGGATGATACGGATCTAAGAAATATTTCTGCAGGTAAATTCTTTGCAGAAGATGACTGGTTTCATATCCCTGGTTTGCCCCATCCACTCTGCAGCCTGTTCAAAGCCAGAGGAACTATGTTCACCTCTCCTCCAGGGAGGGTCTCCCAGGAATGCAGGCAGACGGGGGTTGTAGGGGCGCAGACACTTACTGTAGGCAGTGGCTGAGTCACGGTCACGCTGGGTTCCTCCCAGGAACATCGTCAGGGAAGAGTACGGCACGTGGTGGCACTAGGGAGAGCACAGTTCAAACACAGCTCTGGCTGCTGCTTCCCTGCTTTGCTGGTCATGACCCACCTCATCCCTACACCATGCAGATAATTCTGCCTTCTGCGTCACCCCTGAACACGTGTGGCTTTTCACCCTCTTCTGCGATTTGCTTTGCTCCCGCTAACCAGCGATGGAGGAGTTCACATCCCCATATACAGGCAGCCCAGATGAATCCCCAGCATTAAAAAACACCGTTTCTTCTCACCATCCCTGCAGGGATGGTCTGTTCCCGCTTCATCCCTCACTGCTCCCCAGCTAGAGCTCTCCTGGGCTCCACACCAGGTCCCTTGCTGGAGAAGCTGGGACTCCCCACCTGACTGTGCCCCCGTCCCTTGCAGTATAGAACGGTGTGTGAGAGAGTCAGCCCCAGGCACCATGTTCCTTACAGTCATGCAAGTCTGGAAGAAGGTGTAGGTGAACAGGTACCACAGGAATTTCAGGGAGGCGGGGGTGGCATCCGAGAGGGTGGACCACAACAAGCAGTAGCAGAGCACCCCAAATGGCATGGAGCACGCGATCCTGGGGAGGAAGCAGAGCTGGTCAGATGCGGCCCTCAGATAAGGTGGTCACACTTCTCATCGCACAAGCTGAGCTACGTAGCACAGCCTCCCCCCCCCAGCTTCCAAACCACAGCCCAGCTACTGCAAGATCAAGATCTGGAAGAGGAAACATCTCTGCTCAAGTGAGTGTCCAGTGGTCAGGCTGGGAGGAGCTAAACATAAATGTTGAGAGAAAAACTAATGTTTAAGTTGTCCAACATTTCTTATTCTCTACTGCTTCAAGTCCTTGCCCTGCAGCGGAACCTTGGGGCAGTGGTAACTCTCTTACGTGCAAGATCTGCCCGTGGTTAGAGCCCGGTGGAGAGCTCCTGGCACAGCTGACTACCAAACTCCGTACGTGCCACCACAGAGGAAGCTCAGAGCACCGAACCCCACTGCCTCAAAAACACGAGGCCCCAGTGAAACACCAAGCGTACAAGTTTGCAGAACATTCCTCCTCTTTCATTGCAATGACATATGGACCCCACTGCAAGTTATATTATCTTTCGTGTCCTTGTGATGTTAAGGTTTTGTAATTCTCCGTAAGCCACAGTCACATTAAACTCCCAGCGAGGGGTCCCAGCTGCCTCTTTGTGCTAGCACTGAAGGAATTTGAGTCCAGCAAAGACCCTCCTGAGGCTCCAGCCTGGACACTCACCATGGCACCAGTTTGCCGTATTTTCTCCTTGGGCTCTTGCTGACCAGGAAGCCAATAGCAGGGTCAGTAACCGCATCCCAGGCTCTTCCAAGGAAAATGATCAAAGAGGCATGGAATGGCTCCAGCTAGGGGGAAATGGAAACCGCAGCTTGAAAGGGAAAGAAGTCCTGGCAAAAAGCTGTGAGCAGTCAGCACAATGCAGCTCGCTCCAGCCAACGTTTCAGCTGCATCCCCTGGAGACCACTCCGAGCATTGAAACGGCCCAGAAACGCCTCCTGTGTGCCCACCGACAATATTTACATCGTGCGATTTTGATCCCGTTTGAATTCCAATTCTGACGAGCATTTCCAAGGGCTTTGGCCACCCACCAAACCCTACCCTTGCCCCAGTCTGCTGAGCTTGTGCCAAGCCCCTTTGCAGATAACCCCGTCTCACGTGGCCACTCACCTGCGCAACATCCAACAGGAAGATTTGGAGGAAGAACCCGAGGGCGTTGCCTGTCATCTGGTAGGGAATGCCCCCAATGGCATAGCAAACCTTTCTGCAGAGCGGCAGTCCTGGCTTCTCCTGCAGCCAAGACACCAGGGGACAAGCCCACCTGAGAAATGACGGGCGCCTCGGGCTGACAGCTAACCTCCAGCCGCCGCTCGTCCCATCCGCTGCGTTCTCCGAGGCCCATTTGAACCTTGAGTCATGTCATAATCCTCCCCCCCCCCCCCGACACACATACCTGTCCTTTGGCTGGACATCACTCCACCTGACACCCACAAGCAAGGTGGTCGTGGCAGTTGGGGTGCTGTGGGGTGCTTCCCCATCTCCTGCTCATCTCGGCGGGTCAGGGCGCAGCGCTTCTCTACGCGCGACCTGCCCTCGGGCAGCAGCCTGGCTCCTGAGGTCCTGCTCAGCGGCAATTAATATTTTTCATAAGCCCTCAGGGTCCCTCACGGAGGCGCTTCGAGGGGCTAGGCACGCTGAGAGCACCTCTCCTTGCTCCAGCCCGCTAGCCCACATCCACTCTTCCACTAGCCAAAGCCCCAAGGCAAGGGCTGATCAGCAGGCATCCATCTCATTTACTTGCCTTAGGCTTGGCTTGTCACCAGGGTCACATCCCTGGTGTTTCACCTCAATTCTCCTCGGAGGCATGTTTGCCTGAGATCACAGGCTGCTAACAAATGAGATACATACCAAACCCCAGACACAGTGCTATCTGCTGAGCTGGTCTAACATTGTCCTTCCCTATTCTATTGAGCCACAATCCAGTGGTTCAAGTTCTTTTAATATTAAAAAGGACAAATTACGTCAGGCTTAGAGTGACTGTAACGGAGGCAGTCCGAGGAGAGAGCCTGCAAAGGCCAGAGCTCAGGAGACTTCTATAGATCAACAGGGAAAGCACAAGGAATGTTTCAGCACGCAGGAAAAGAGCTGATGGCAAAGCCTCTATTTTATTTGGATGTGGTTAGCTTTAGTAAATACCGTACCAAGCCTCAAGTATCTGGCAAGTTCCCAGAGGCAACCTACAGCACTGATTTCCTCCCAGCCCCGAAATGAACTTGCTGTCTAGCATGATACACCTCAGCACCACACAAGACCAGGGCTGCACGGCAGAATACAGGGCGAGACCACGTAGAAAGCAAGACAGCCCATCCAGGCTCGGCTCTCCTACGAGCAGGCCATTGCCAGAGGCTGGGTACGGCGAGCAGCGGTGGGGTCGTGGTGAAGAGCCAGGGCTGAGCTCCCACCTCAGCACAGGCTGCCTCGGAGGATGCTCGGGGCTAACGCGCTCGTCGGCACGCCGGGCTCCTGGTCTACCCCACGTTTTGGCTTTCCCGATCATGGAGCAGCTCCAGCACAGCACCCCAAAAAAATATACAGCTCTTTCTGGAAAGATGCAGGAGGCTCCCCTGCTCAGGAGGGGCAGACGGCCATCCCAGGCGACAGGCCTGGTCCAGATGTGGCTATAAAAGGCTGCGAGCTCCTCCAGCAAGAGCTTTCGCTGCAGAGCAGCGAGAGGAGGGCTGCACGCTTGGCACGGAGGCGGCTGTGCAAGAGGCTGGGCTGGGGGGACGGACTGCAGAGTCACATCCACAGCTGGGTAACAGGGAAATCAAGTCAGGGATCGCTTCAAATTCCCACCTGCCCTCATCTCTCGTGGGACGAGGGGGGCGACCCGCCGGTTCCCCAGCCTGTTTGGGCTGGAGATGGCTTGCTGCGCCGCGAACGTCGGCCGAGCTGACAGCCACCCTCGAGGGACGACAGACCTTCGTTGTAACGGCGCTAGGAGCGCCTTCCGAAAACACAGGCACAATCCCCAAAAGCGGCATTCCAGAAGGCACCGAGCACGCTTCCCTCACGCAGCGATTGGCAAGAACTCCTCCGCAGCCCATGCCACGGAAAAAGCACTGACGCTGCTACGCGCAGCAGGCTGGAGGGTCCAGCTTCCTCCCGCACAGCCAGGGGAGCAGAGCTTTCTTCCCGCCAGGTAACCTCAGCAGCCTCCTCCTGCCTCTCAGCTTCTGGTCCCGGTTTACCTCCTGCCTTTTACAGCACACAGCGAGAGTCAGGTCCCTTGTATTTCAAATTGCAGAGCAGCCTTGTCCCGCAGGGATGGCTGAAGCATTAGGCTTGCACCACCGCTGAGGAGCACTTACTCACACAACATCTTGTTTCCACAGCAGTTCTGTTTCTAAAATAACAAAGGCATTTCTCTCGGCTGCAAGGTTTTGTGGCAGCTTTTGTTCCCTTTATGCTCTCAGCAGGTAGGACAGCGCTCTGCACGTCTCTGCCCATTTCGCTTGAAAGTCAGCAGCAACAAGAAAATGCAGAGCCTTGCTTTAACAATGTGTTCTCGAGCTTGAGTCATAAACACTTCGAAACACCCCCACAGCCTGCGGCTGCTCGATCCGGGTAGGCTCTGCGTGGGCGGGAGCGCTCCCGAGGGTTAGTGTGCACGTGTGAAATGCATTTCTGCGAGTGAGAAAGCACCACCCTGGGACACCGATCTTACCTCTCTGCGGACCACCCTCCTCTGCGGGAGAGCTCCTTCGTGGCTTAACCTGTGCAGCTCAGCATCTTCGTGACCACCTGGAAGCATGACTGCAGACTCGAGCGTGGCCTTCAGCAGCACGTGGTGGGGAAGCAGAGGCTTCCTCACCCAGGCTGAGGAAGAACTTGCCTTGTACCTCAAAGAGCACACCGCAGGCGCAGATCGGAGCTGGGTGGAGATTTGACAAGCGAAGATAGAACATCTGGGTGGCCCCAGGGGGAGCAGATGGAGGGGAAATGACTGGCTCTGAGGGAGGAGCGTGGCCGGACCCTGCCCATGGAGGCAGGAAACCTGGCATGGCTCATAGTGCGGCATGTACTCGGGGCAGCAGCTCCCAGGCTCTCTGCAGTCAAGCGATGAAATCAGTGCTCTTTAAAGGTCAAGCTTCATCCAGCTCTTCCACCCCATCCCAGGGCTGCTGCCACACTGAGAGATTGGGGGTGCAGAGGAGTCCTTTGCCTGAGCTCCAGATCACTGCAGGAACACGCTCGAGCCACCCCAGGGCTCCTGTCTCAGCACCAGCAGCCACCAGCTGCCACGAACTGGCGCGTGAAACCCAGAGCTGGCAACCAAGGTGGCTGGAGCAGCCGGGGAGAGGGCGGCAGGAACAGGAGGGTATTTTACCCGGGTCACTCCCCAGCAAGGCCCCTCTCCCCCTGGTCAGTCCAGGAAGACCAGAAGCCCAGCCCTGGCTCCTCACTCAGGGGAGCCCCCTGCCCCCTTGCTTTGCCCTCTCCTTAACGGGTGGGAGCCCAGGACAATGTCAGTCAGAGTAGGAGGCGTGGGATACGTTTTGCGTTATTAAGATCTGCAATTACCAACCTCTTTCAGCCCATGAGCTCCTGAGAGTTCTCCCATGGCAATGCAGACCCCACACAGTCTGTTTTAGCCTGGTGAGAAGAAACGTGCTTTTCTTAGTCCCCTTCATCGCCCATCGAGCCCAGCAGCCTCGGCATCACGAACCAAAAATTACTCCTACTTTAAGAGCAGTAGGAGCCCAGTTACTCAGCTCTGGCTGTGTGGGAGCAGCGAGTTCCCAAGGCAGCGGTGCTCACAGCACACAGCCAGTCACCATTACAAGCACTTGGCAAAGCCCAGGCAGAGGGAGAGATGGGCTTCAGAGGACAGAAGGCGCACAGCAAAATGCCGGCAGGAAAGGGATCACACTTCCACTCTGCCCGCTCATCGTCTGTTTGGCGCGTCTAGTCTCATCAGGCAGCCCTTCAAAAACAGGCTTCTCTACCTAGGTCAAACTCAGTCTCCAGGATTGAGCTTGTATGCAGCAGCCAGGGCAGGACAACACAGGCAAAACCCTCTCCCTGCTCTTCCCCCAGCTTCCCAAGAGCCACCGGGAGCGTTCAACCCGTGCCAGTGTCTCTGCACCGCCACCCACACCCAAGGAGAACGCCGGCACCCATCCTGCAAGGTTCATCACAACGCTGTTAGAAAAATGTGTCGTCTTCAGCTCAGCCTTGCCTTGTCCAGTAGGGGTTAATCTAAAAAACCTGAATTTCACAGGCTGAGTCAGAACTTGGTTAATAAGCCACAGTACAACTGAGTCAGCGGCATCTCTCTTCGCTGCTATTTTACTGACATCCCAGATAACAAATATCACTCACGCTGGACCACAGCCAGTGCAGTGGGAGCCAAAACCCTGTCTCCCACCAGCATATCTAAGGATACATCTCTATAAAAAAGCAAAATACATCCCTCCCCACCCAAATGGAAAGGGGAAACTCAAAATATAAACCCCCTGATTTTTTTTTTTTTCCCCCTAGGCCATTTTGTACCCACTCACCACACACAATTACATTTGGACTGACACAAGGTACCTTTGGAAATTGTACTCAGCACTTAATCCTCTGGCTCTTTGGCACTCATTTACTCTCCAGGTGCAAATAGCTGCACTTTCTGCTCACAGACTAGAAAGCCAGCAGATGACCAACAGTTACCTCCCAGAGTAGCTGTGTAGGCTCTTGCTCCCTGGCTGGTTCAGCGCACAATTATCTTCAACACAGGAAAGCTTTATTTCTGCTCTTCTTAGATCCTCCCAAAGCTTTTTGTCACGTTGCTCAGGGCCTTACAGAAGGCAGCATCACCCGTTGGGTCTGGACAGGATGTCACGATCGCTGGTGCAGCCTGGGGAGCTCTCAGCCCGCCTCTGCGCGAGAGCGGGTTTCAGCTTTGTGCTGGAAAGGCATATTTTGGGGAAAAGCACCAACCTCGCTGTTAATCACCGAGCAACTTGCTGCAGTGAGCTTTCTACTAACGCTGGGTGCCAAGGCCTGAGACCAAACCAAACCAGCTCGCCGTACACTGCGCACACCAAGGGTCTGGAGCAAAAGGACGATGTCTCTTCCATTGCTAAGCTGATCTTTTGCTATCAATTGCTTAGAAATAGGCTTCGAAAGAAGAAGGAAAGCATTCAGCAACACTGCAGCTACACCCACCCATTTTTTTCCGTTGCACAAATACTCAGCAAAAGGCTGAGAGAAGCCAAAGCTCTGCAGTTTAAGAAACAAGGTCATGTTGGAGTTTAGTCACTGCAAAGGAAAGGTCCCCTCCCCAGAACCCCCTTCTCCACTGCAGGAGCATGAGATCTTATCTCTCAAGGCAGCCCAGAGCCCAGGAATGTGCGATACAAACAACTGCAATCCAAGCCATGCTAGCTGAACAGCTTTTCTCAGGGTACTATGACCTAGAGATGGGCTGCTGAGGGAAAGGAGCCCCATCGAAGGGGAAAAAAACAAAACAAAACAAAAAAAATCTGAAGCCAACAAATGGGAAATTTTTGGCACAGAAACAAGTGGCAGCATTTGGAGGTGTTCCACTAGCAAGTCCTCCGAAGGTTTACCCCTCCTTGACTGCTGTAAGCACAGCTGCCTTCTCTCGGTGGAACCCGAGTCTGGACTTCAACAGCCACCAAGATGGATGAGAAAGGAAAGGAAGGGCTGGTTGCTACTGTAGGCCTTGTAAGCCAATAAAGAGTTAATTTAATGAAGAGTCGTGAAATCTACCTGGGTAAATAAGAACATCTGGAATCTATTCAGGAACTCCCAGCGCTGGGACAGAGAGGCTCAGTGCAGACAAGACAGAACAGCAAATAAGATAAGCATTTAGGAATGTGGGAAGTCAGAAAATGATAAATTATTGAATTGAGAGGTGCTTGACACAGGAGCTGTTCAGCTGCCAAAGATGTGGGCCTGATGCGTAATTACTATTAGGCTACCCTCTCTAGAAGTGCATAATTGGGAAACCTGGGACTCATTTGGAAAAACTTTCGCTAACAGGTACCTAGAACGGATTTCTCTTCCTGTTTCTGTTGAACTCCGCAGAATCCCTGCTGAGGCAGCCCGAGCAACCCGGCCAGCAGCCGCGACACGCAGCTCCCTCGGCTCACCCACCGCCTTTGCCTGCCCGTTCCACCGCTATTGCCCCAGCAGCCCCGTTAGCAGCCATCGCATCGAAGTCCCCGGGGGACTCCCCGAGCCACTCGCCGCATCATTTACCGGAGCGAGGAGGAGGCTTGCAGCCGAACTCTCCGCGGACGTCGACTACCTTTAGGCTTTTTTCCTTCCCGAAGTGAGGTGAAACCGCCCAAGACACACCACGAAAGCTGGCAGGGCCATCATACCCCGTTAACAAGGACTGGAGGCGAGGAGACCCGGCTCCGCACGACTCAGCAGCGGCCAGTTCCCTTCACACCAGGGAAGGGATGCACGGCGGCGTGCGACGGCTCGTTCCCCTCGCACCAGGCGCAGCCCCGACACGTGCATTCACTGCTGCCGTGCCTGAAGGATGGGTACAGAAGGACGCAGCTCGGAGAAGCCTGGTTTGAGTCCTGAAGCACGAGAGGAGCTGAAAGGCTTCGCTCTCGTCGGGGAGGCAGCTGGGTCACCAGGAAAGCGCACGCGGCAGCAGGCCCAGCTGAGAACCGCGGGCTCCGGCGTCTCAGCTCCGCCTGGAGCGACTGCCAGACACCCTGCCCTTGGGTGATGGCAGGTGGCTACCACACCAGCACCAATGGAAACCCACAACCTGGTAAGGAAAAAAAAAAAAAAAAAAAAAAAAAATCTGCCGTTTAAAATGACCAGTCTCCACCTATAAACATTCTGGTTCACCAACAGAAACAAGCCCATTTAGAAGTGGTAAGGGGGTGGCACTGCCTGGCTTTCACGATCTAGCAATTCTTCACAGCTTACCTGGAGCAGTGAACTCCTGAGCAGACACCTGCTCCTGCCCAAGGATTAACGCTGATGGTCCCTGTCTCATGGGGGGGGGGGGGGCTTTGGAGAAACCCCTAAGCATCTTGTTTTACATGACTGTGACACCAAATGCCCCAAAGCCAGTTTTCCACTGTAACTACAGAGTCAGAGGAAACATCAACTCAAGGTCCTTTTTCTCGATAACAAAGGATCTGTAAAGCAGCACTGCTTTCAAAAGAAAACCCTCCTGACTGAACTTCCGAAGAACATCCCGGGAGCAGACCGATATCCTTTTAATCACTCTTCTAAAAAAAAGGCACCAGGGAGCTGAAGACCCACCCAAGAAGACGCCATGGCACGAAGGTCATTTTCTCCTTCTGGAAAGTTTTAGTGTCGTCCAGCAACGAGGAGCAAACAGTAAATTAAATAGTAACTGTTTATAACCAAAGGCAACGAGAAAAAATAAAATAGGCCAAAATTTACAGTCACCCTCTTGTAGCTGCAGGTGTGCCGACTGAGATTTCTTGCTCCCTCACTCTTGTTGCTGCTTCCATTTGTCTGCTAGCTGAGCTACCTGGGGTTTGTGCCAAAATGAGGCAACCAACAAGCTGCCTTGCGCTGCTGACGTTGCTTTGCCCAAGCAGAGAGCTGGAGGTACAGCTGCACCCAGAAGTGGATCCTCCTACACCAAGACCACTGAAAAACTACTTGACCAAAGGCACGGGGATAGCAGAACCTCCTGGGGTAAGCGGTCCACTAACGATGCGAGAAATGTGGCCCAGGACACATCCCATGGCAAAAGCAGCATTACAGAGGGAAGGCAAAGGTCCCAGGAAATGGTGCAAAATGCTATCGGAAAAGACGACATGTGAAAAGGAAGAAGAGGAAACGATGAGCTGTGTACAAAGGGAGAAAAAAAAA